TTCATTCCATAGTGTGCCACAGGTAGGCCAGCCGATCACCTATTCCATCGAGACAGAGGATATGACTTTACGTCGAGAGTAACACGACACGGTCTGTGTCGAGTCGAATGGAGATGTGTGTTTTATGCGGTGGCCGGCATATCGAGACCCTGGACTGATAAAGTGGAGGTGAAGTGTAGGTAATGTTGACAAGTGAAAGCTGAAAGAGTGATTAGAACGCTATAGGTATGTACCTATTTAATCTTAAATTGTTTTAATTGCAAGTAAACTCATACGTAGTCGAGTGCGCGCGTCGGCAACATCAAAATGTATTCAAGGAAACGAGAGAGTGAGAGGTAATGAGAGAGAGAGAGAGAGAGAGAGAGAGAGAGAAAGAGCGAGTGCGCCGGGACGGCACGTGTAAGCTTACAGGGTTGTAGCATAGTAATTGAAAACAAATTGTTCAAATATTTGTATGAAAATATCAATTTACATGAAATTGTTTTTTGACCTATCAATTGTGTTCTTTGTGCTAGGTTGTATGGCCATGTTTCGGGATTATACAGGTATTACCAAACACGCTGTATACGGTTATTAAAACTGCATTACATGACCGTCCATGTAAAGTGTTAATCTCATAAAAACGTCTACGTATCGTTAGGAACTGGGACCGCCGCTTCTTGGTGATCGTGATTATTGTAAAGCGAGTCGCCCAAACATCAACCTTAAGTTATTCACCTAAGAGTGAATTCAGAGTTACTTTAAAGTGTTGTGGAAAATAGATAATTATTGTATAACTGAATCACTAGTGATCACAGTTCAGGCAAATCACTAGTTGAATAACTGTCTATCGCGAATATGGTCCATCACTTGTATCCGAATAACCATCAAATGTATCCGATGTTGTTATATATTTATTTAAATTAAAACCACTAAACCAGTCAATAAAACATAAAGTTAAATATCATTAGTTGTGTATTTTATTGCATTGGTGTTATTTTTTTGTAATAAACACTTCACATCGGCTCTGACAAGTAACATGGCGTTTGGCATATATTAAAGCTTTTTTATCATTTATTAATATTTATTTTCAATACGAAAACGAACTGATGTAAAAAGCAATAATGAACGTAATAAAATATATTTAGCCATCTTTTGAATCAAACGCATATTCCCTATTACTAGCTATACACAGACCGATCATGGGTAAAACGGAAGTGGTAGCGACCCCGAGCTGCCATACTTTCATTTGGAGTGACACATTTTATTAAGCCTGTCATCATCATCAGACCTTTAACGTCTCCCCTGCAGGGGCTCAGGCTTTCCTTACGATTGGTTAAGGAAGATGGGCCAGAACCCTCCACGCTAGTCCAATGCTGACTGGAGGGTATAAACGACTGCAAATGTAGCCGGGACCGAAGGCTTAACGTGCCTTCCAAAGCACGGAGTAACTCGAGATAATTTTTTTTTGGTCACCCATCCCGTGACCGACCCTTGCGAATGTTGCTTAACAACAAAGATCACGTGCCGCGACGCTTATTCACTACACCACTAAGCTACTTATGACTAAAATGAGACTATTAAAACTAAATTAAGCCTGTATTTATTTTTAATAGTCTCATTTTTACCGTACAGCAATTATGAAAAAGTTGTTATAAAAACATACTTTCTAAGAAACGGCATGCATAAAAGCACTAAATAGATAACAAAGCTATCTATTACTATTAGTTACTTTACTGGTATTAGTTTTAGTTAGTTACCTGGAACATAGCGCACATATGGCACCTACACTGACGGCATATTTAGCCCACGGCCAACCCAGCTGGTCGTATACGAAGGGAAACGGCGCCTTCTCGTCCTGCAAATAAAATTCACAATAAAACCATCTATATACGCACATGTGTATAAACGTTACCAGTAATTTTCAACTAAAACAGCGCATGATGGAGCAGATTTAACAGTTTCGTCGACGACCAAACTCGGCAGGACTCAAGACGCGTGGTTATTGGTGGATTACTCGATGGTGTGATACTTAAATCATTCTAATTGGTAGAAATTTGCCGCGCTGCCAAAATTTACGAAATAATAAGCTGAAGTTAACGAAATAATGGCACTTCAATGACATTTCGGTAATTGCATATTCCCACTGGATTATTTACCTTATGTCAAATATTATTAGGGCACCATGAGCGTGAGCACGCAGGAGAGCCCGCAGTACATGTGTATAGTACCTGCATGTAGTAGGGCACCATGAGCGTGAGCACGCAGGAGCCCGCAGTACATGTGTATAGTACCTGCATGTAGTAGGGCACCATGAGCGTGAGCACGCAGGAGCCCGCAGTACATGTGTATAGTACCTGCATGTAGTAGGGCACCATGAGCGTGAGCACGCAGGAGAGCCCGCAGTACATGTGTATAGTACCTGCATGTAGTAGGGCACCATGAGCGTGAGCACGCAGGAGAGCCCGCAGTACATGTGTATAGTACCTGCATGTAGTAGGGCACCATGAGCGTGAGCACGCAGGAGAGCCCGCAGTACATGTGTATAGTACCTGCATGTAGTAGGGCACCATGAGCGTGAGCACGCAGGAGAGCCCGCAGTACATGTGTATAGTACCTGCATGTAGTAGGGCACCATGAGCGTGAGCACGCAGGAGAGCCCGCAGTACATGTGTATAGTACCTGCATGTAGTAGGGCACCATGAGCGTGAGCACGCAGGAGAGCCCGCAGTACATGTGTATAGTACCTGCATGTAGTAGGGCACCATGAGCGTGAGCACGCAGGAGAGCCCGCAGTACATGTGTATAGTACCTGCATGTAGTAGGGCACCATGAGCGTGAGCACGCAGGAGAGCCCGCAGTACATGTGTATAGTACCTGCATGTAGTAGGGCACCATGAGCGTGAGCACGCAGGAGAGCCCGCAGTACATGTGTATAGTACCTGCATGTAGTAGGGCACCATGAGCGTGAGCACGCAGTACATGTGTATAGTACCTGCATGTAGTAGGGCACCATGAGCGTGAGCACGCAGGAGAGCCCGCAGTACATGTGTATAGTACCTGCATGTAGTAGGGCACCATGAGCGTGAGGGAGCCCGCAGTACATGTGTATAGTACCTGCATGTAGTAGGGCACCATGAGCGTGAGCACGCAGGAGACCCCGCAGTACGCGAGGAACACCACCAGCAGCGAGGCCACCACCGCGAACGGTATACTCTTCTGCGGACGACGAGCCTCCTCGCCGGCGGTCGCCACGCAGTCGAAACCTAACACAAATAAAATTTACATGTACTAAACAAATATTACTGTTACACTTCAGAAAACTCGTAACCTTGCTTTGGGGCAGTTTTTGGGAGTCTTCTTATAATATCTAAATTTTTAGTCAACAACTCAGATACAAAACTATAATATTATAATCTTAAGTGATTTTAATATTTACACATTAATTACTTCAAAGAAATCAAATAAATAAAAAGAAAGGCCAACAATTTTAACTGCAGCTTACATATCGTGCACTTACACGATACTACTACTACTTAAATGATACTTGCATAGATCATCCTAAGAAATACAACAAACGCATAAGGAATTCTTCACAATTTAGAAATCTCAGACCCTAACACTACAAAATCTCTTATGTTGAACAAAAATAAAGAAAGTAGGGAAAATATAAAATCAGATCATGTTTGCATATCTTGTAAGAAACCAAGCGGAAACAAACCTAAATGGTGTTTTTCATAAATTCCCGTGGTGATGTCAAATTATTTTATGAAATTTATTTTCCTATTATAAGATATACAACATAAAAGTTGTAAAAAGCCATCTTGGTTCATGGCTGGCTTAAATCAAGTAAACGAAATCCACGTTCTTTTGTACTATAAGCACACCCTCGAAAATCAAACCAAGTATCAAGGTTATAAAAGGTTGTTAAATAAGTGTATTTCCCAGTCCCACTGATTAACTAACTAACAGCAAATCCTACTAATATTATAAGGCAAAAGTTTGTAGTTTTGTATGTTCAGATGTTTCGAATGTTTGTTTCTTCTTCACGTGAAAACTACTGAACCGATTTAGATGAAATTTTGTATACAGGTAATTCTTTGGTCTGGATTAACGTATAGGCTACTTTTTATCCCGCTAAAAGGTTATAGGTTTTAGGGATAGAATTGCTTCCAAGGGCGCCTATTTTTGTGCTGCCTAATCGGAAAGAGATATACGAATGCTTTCTAAAAAAAACTTGGATAGCTTTAAATTATTTATAAAAATGTCCGCGATGGGATATATATATATATATATATATGTTATAACATTAAAAAAAAAACTTCGTAGAAGTGTTTTAATATTTTGTGACCATCTTTAGACGTTTGTTTGAATAGGTTTAATGCAAATAAAATTTTTCTTTTTTATCAAATCAATTGGATTAGTAGTTTGAATTTTACTACGATGTTTTTGAGAAAAGAAAAAACACCCAGCCGATTTTCTAAATACTATATCATGTGTATGTGTGTATTATGACTTAACAGGTTTTTTTTTACATGTATTCGATATCTTTTATATTTATAAGGACTACAGTAATGATATTATTGTGTTTCTAATAAAAATAGTGAAAATTGTTGCTTTCACTATTTTAAGCTAAGAGACCGTTTAGTAACAAGGAGCACCTATTCAAGGTGAGATTGCCAGTCTACATACCCAAAAAGAGTATCTATAGTAGTATAAGATTTGTGTAGAGTTGGAGGATGAAAAAGATTAGCTGGACGAAAATACAATCGACTGAATATGACGGCTATTAGGGCTACCGCGTAGCAACATTGGCTTCGATTTGGTTGACATTGGATTGCACTCAATGTTGAACATGTATTGTTAGATCACATATGTACTACGTTCATTATATCGAAGTATACCCAATGCAATTTAACGTTAAGTGCATTTTGACCTCGATATCAATTAAATCGAAGCCAATTTCAGCCACGCGGTAGGCCTGCTGAAAACCGTAGGAAACAGACACTATTCAACCCGATGACTTCTTTAAAACCAGGCTGTAGACAAAAATATGTAGCTAGTAAAAAGTAGTATGTCATATAAAGCAATATAATTATAACCAATTTTAGAAAATTACACAATTTTAGAAACGAAATTGGTGTGCTCGAAGCATAAACTCCTTAACTATATGAATTAGAAATATTTAATAGAACATACCGATGAACCCGTAGAAGCAGACGGCAGCCCCCTTTATGATTCCGGCGAGTCCGTACGGTGCGAACCCGCCACTGCCGAAATCTTTCTTCTCACTCTTAGGCACTTCCGACGCAGGGATGCGCCAATTTTTCGTATCGGCTAAAAATAACATAAATGTATAGGCGCCTCTTAAAAATACATATCTAGTATCTACATCGTACAGGGTTGACATAGACTATAATTTACGCGTGCGAAATCGCGGGACAACAGCTAGTATACTATAATTTGAACATTTTTAATTTCTATTCTATATTCAGTTACATATTTCGATATTTCGAAATAGAATAAGTATAGGTTTTTGTCGCACCTTTGAAGGAACCGGATATGATGACGAACAATACAACACACAGATTGACGCCGGTACAGAAGTTGTTGAACCTCGTCGACTCTTTCACGCCGAACGCGAGTGCCACTGATCAGACAAAAAAAGCATAATTAGTAACATACATCATAATAAATTAAATTAATTCCATATTACATAAAACATATAGCCTAGTGAATATAGTAGTCTAATGACAAACAAAATAATACTGGCATGCGATTTAATAATCCTGTTTGGACTTATATGGCTACTATAATGGTTTCAGAATATGCCAACGCACTTATATCAGCATACGTGAATCCTGTTTTTACTCAAGTACGCTTACTCCTACAATATGGACCTATATCGGTATATAGGATCACAATTCATGGCTACTACTGGACTAAGCCGCCTATAAGAGCATGTATTAAGAGTAATTACTCTCAAGAGGAACTACTCCGATAACTCAGACTTATATGCGCATATAAGACAACGCTTAAAGCCCATTTGCGCTAGGCAAAAATGCATTTTATAGGGGTTTGCCATATGCCGATATAAGCCTAGGTAGATTTATATGGGTATTTCATAGTAGTGCTATTGTCTAAGAAAACTTCAAACAATCCTGGCTAGAACTCTTTAAAGGCTTTTTTTTTGGAAACAACTGATATGGTCGAAAACACGATTTGAATGGTTTCCCAAATCTTAGTATAGGATTTGCGATCAGCCATTAAAATCACGATCGTTACCAAATATTTATCATAACAGAATCTACGAGTGTGAGCCCTGATGAGACAGTAATAATTGTAGAACCCTAATTAGTAACAATATGGCGAATTTTCTGTGGTGTTGGCACTTACCATTGTAGAACTAAATTAACTTTTATCAATCCTATATCATACTTGGAATTAATAAATACCACCTTGGCTCAATCTTTTTAATTTTTTACATAACAATTTGACAATTCACTGAAACACTAGGTGCATACTTAGTAGAGGCATAGCTCGGCCCGAGTTAGTCTCACTTTTTACTATAGTGGATTTATATTGACATTTTCAGGTAAAAGTACACTTGTTTAATCCCTATATAGGAGCCGTTTGATCAAAAGTGGGATGGCTGCGGCCTGATATAATCGCGCTGTAAGCAAGGGTGTACTTATAAAGTGGCCCTTTTCCGGGGTTATATGCAGATATAAGACTAATATAATCCTCAAGAAATCATGGTTCTAGGATAGTTAAAAAACCTGAAACGTCAAAAAATTTTATAAATAAAAAATACACGCGTTAAAAATGTTTTTTATAATGAGTAGTGCGCGACAAAATATATAAAAGCTAGTAAACAGCGGAATACACATCAGAAAACGGAACGGAAAACGGAGGAGTAGCTCGGTGGCGTAGTGGATAAGCGCCGCGGCCCGCGATCGTTGTCGTTAAGCAACTTTCGCAAGGGTCGGTCACAGGATGGGTCACCAAAAAATTATTATCTCGAGCTACTCCGTGCTTCGGAAGGCACGTTAAGCCGTTGGTCCCGGCTGAATTTTCAGTCGTTAATATCCTCCAATCCGCATCGGGCCAGCGTGGAGAGTCATGGCCCATCCTCCTTAACCATCTATAAGGAAGACCTGAGCCCCTGCAGTGGGGACGTAAAAGGGCTGATGATGATGATGATGATGATACAGCGGAATACTACAAACTGGCACTGCAACTAAGTTAGGACTTTAATTTCTAATAAGAAAAGATCATGATCAATAGGAGAATTTTGAATACCAGGATGTGCTTGACTGTAAAGTTATATAAGACTATGTCAACGCACCTGTATTATAGTAAAGGTACATTCATAGCAAAGTACATTTTTAAGCAGCAACGTTTGCGTGTTTAAAAATAATGATTTGCTATATGTTTTAATCTAAAAAAGAAAACAGTCAACATATGGTCACTCTCAGAGTGAGAAACAACAAATAAATAGCAACAAGAATATGAACAAAACCTCTGATGACGGTAGGGTCCATCCATGCGGGTTTTCACGGAATATATCCTAGTTCGAAGAGTACGTTTGAGAAGTATTAGAGTAAGGTATAGCATGCTACCCGGACTATTGCTTTGCCGAGCATCTGTACACCCAGGTATAAAACCGAAATCTTCAGGATTTTCCAGTCCCCAATAGGGTATTTGAAGCTTTTCTGAAAACTGTCTTAAATGGTTGTTTGATACATTATAAACAACCTGACAATATATTTCGTGAGAATCTACTTTATTTTCAATGAATATAATTGTTAAAGTTTAAACAGTCAAAATCGGGACAAAACGCTGCTCTATGTAATGGCGCAGATCACGAGGTATTTGTGACGTCACATGCCGGTAAATATGTCAAGGCGATAAAACCTATTCATCAACTATTAATTTACGGAGTAAACCAAAATTATTACAGAAGAGAAATTGATGAAAAATTTAATGTTTTGAATTTATTATACTGTAAGTTAATAAAAGAGTAATGAAATGAAAAAGTTACACGACGGGACTTACCAGAAAACACCATAATGACAGCGAAGGCGAAGAGATCCGGGTACCGTGCCAGATGTGGCGAGTCCAGCGGCATCACCGCCTGCAGGTGTGTAGACATCGCCTTATCAAGCAACGAATCCAAATATTCACTCAACGCTTTCACCACTGACGCAGCACCTACATAGGACGATGGTAAACGAATAAAGATTATTTGTGTAGGAACATCAAATAACTAAGCTTGTCCTGCCCTACAATTCTGTAAAGATCCAAAGCCGAATTTGAATTCACTCAGGTGTCCGAATCCACTTCAAAAAACGGCATCAGCTCAATCTTGAACTGGTGATAACGTTTCGGAGCATAAGTAAAGTGAGTTTTGAAATGACGTAGGAATAGAATATCTAAGGTAAGTATAATCAATCAATTTGTTTAGTCAATAGAATTTTTCTTACTAAATTTCTTCACTTAATAACGTGATTTCGAATTCACTCGAATTCTAATTTGGGTCTGGATTTTTTGGGACAGAATCGCATGGCTGTTCTCCAATATTATTTTCACTCGCCACAATTACTTCGTTTTCGACATTTCTTGATCATCCATCATAACAACATTTACCTGTTGCTTAGATGTATCATCTTTCACACTTTTCTTTGATCATCTTTCTGCATTCCGTTCTTGTTTACAAACTTATTCGCCACACACATATATTATTACATCTTTATCTATCACATGTCAATAGCTTTAATTACATGTGCAAACTAAAAATAAACTAGACAAGTAGTGAAAAAGAAACAATGTTATTGAACTTATATCTAATAAGGGTAGAAAAAAATATTATGTAATTAATGACGTAAGCACACTCACCTATAATATACTCGAGTATGAGATTCCATCCAATGATAAAAGCAATAAATTCTCCGACACATACGTAACTGTATACGTAAGCTGATCCCGCTTTAGGGACTCGAGCGCCAAATTCTGCATAGCACAGACCTGGTGACCCAGAAGGTTTTACATATAGTAGTGTCATGATCGGATTAATTAGATGACTAACAGTAACTCACTTGACAAAAGTATATGTAAAAAACACGACATGGACAAGTAACAAAACAGAATACTGAAGGCAATTTTATTGCCAAAATTAAAAACGACAAGTCATGAATGACCACGATAAGTTTCACAAAAAAATGTCTTTAAATTATTGTTTTTCAATGGACTTATTAAACTTTTTTACTGAATTCAGTAAGAGTCCGACTTTTAACAAAAATCAAATGGTCACAGTAGTCATAACTCCATCTTTAATAATATTGTTCTAATAATACACATTATTAAACACTATTAAATTATTAATATTTATCAAGAGCTATTCCGTGCTCCGGAAGGCGTTAAACCGTTGGTACCAGCTGCATTTGCAGTCATTAATATCCCCAAATCCGCATTGGGCCAGCGTGGAGACTCGTGGCACATTCTCCTTATAATAATAATAATAATAATATAGCCTCATTTAATCCCATAATGAGTTACATAATATAACACAAAATTATTGTATGCATGCATGATATGAATTTACAATTAATATAATTACATAAATAACAATGTTATCGCATTATAGATAGCATTTCGATTTTTCTACAGTATTATTTTTTCAATTGTTATTCATTATATTATTATTCACAATTAATTAGTTAATTAGCAAAAAATTTATTGAAATTACAATTATTCTAAATTTAAAATTATTTCATTAAGGGCCCCTCAACGGGTAAAGGCCTCCTCCATTTTTTTCCACATCTGTCTGTCCTTTGCCTTTGTGATCCAGTTGTCACCTGCTTTTCTTATTATCTCGTCTATCCATTTTTCTTTTGGTCTGCCCCTTTTCCTTTTGTTTAGTGGTCCTCGCCAAGTGGTGACTCTGTATGTCCATTTTTCTTTATCCATGCGTGCAATATGACCTGCCCATTTCCATTTTTGTTTTTGTGAGTGTGATAAAGCATCTATTACTTTAGTTGTTTTTCTTATTTCTGTGTTTTTTTTTCCTGTGTTTTCTTTGTATATTTAGTATACTCCTTTCCATCGCTCGCTGGCATACTTGTATTTTGTTTTTCGTGTAGTTATTATATATCCATGTTTGGCAGCCATACGTAAGACTCGGTAGTAAACATGAGTCCATAACTTTTTTCTTTAGTTTTATAGGGAGTTTTGATTTTAAGGTTTCTTTATTGCTCCAAAATTTATTCCACGCTATATTCACTCGCCTATTGATTTCATCTTCATGTCTTTTTGTAGAGAAAGATACCTGTTGTCCCAAGTAAACGTAACTCTGAACATATTCTAGTGTACTGTTATTAACTTTTATTGGTTTGGCATGGTGGTTAGTCATGATTTTAGTCTTGGTAGTATTTAGTTCTAGGCCTATTGCACTGCTTACCTCAGTTAGTTCATTAATCATTGTCTGTAGTTCAGATGGTGATTCAGAGAAAAGTATGATGTCGTCTGCAAATCGAAGATTACTGAGGAGTTTTCCATTTATATTAATTCCTTTCTTTTCCCAATTAAGAGTTCTCATGACACTTTGTAGCACCGCTATAAAGATTCTTGGTGACAGGGGATCACCCTGTCTGACGCCTCTACAAATGCTTATCTCAGGGCCCTGACTTTCTAACTTTACACGGCTTATGCTTTTCTGATAGATGTCTTTTATCAGATCGATAGTCTCTGATGGTACTTCACACTCATGTAGAGCCTTCCACATACTGTTATGGGATATAGAGTCGAAGGCTTTGGCGTAATCGATGAAAGCCAGGTAGAGTGGTCTAGTGTGTTCTATGTATTTCTCCATAATCAGATTTAAAGTGTGAATGTGATCTGTTGTGGAGAAGTTTTTCCTGAAGCCGGCTTGTTCTGGAGGTTGAAATTTCTCTGTGAACTTTGCTAAGCGATCCTCAAGGCACGAAGCAAACAATTTGTATATATTTGGTTGTAAGCTTATGGGTCGGTAATTTCCAATATCGGCAGGGTCTCCTTTCTTATAAAGTAGAATGATGTCCGATTTTGCCCATTCTTTCGGTACTATTCTGTCATCAAGAATCATATTAAATAAGGTTGTTATGCAGGGTGTTAGTATCCATTTGCCCAATTGTATTGCCTCGTTGGGGATTTCATCTGGGCCATTACTCTTGCCGGGTTTAAGAGATTCGATTTTCTTTATAATTTCATGTGTAGAGAATCTAGTTAGGCTAGTAGCATTCTGGTTCGTCTTTATGATTTCCGAAGTCGTGTCATTTGCCGAGTACAGATTCTTGTAAAATGTTGTTGCCTTTTCTATTATTTCCGATCTTGAAAATATTTTCTTGCCTGTGTTATCTTTTATATAGGGTATCCATTGTTTGGTGGTATTAAGGATTTTTAGACCTTTCTTAAGGCTACCAGTTAGTTTTAAGTGTGTTTCTATAACTTTTATTCTGTGTTCCATACGTTCTCGTTTCATTGATTTGTAGATATTCTTGTAGAGATTTGTACGTTCGTGTTTTTCTTCTTTAGTTAGAGTTTTCTTCTGGACCAGTTCATTTCTTCTTGCAATCAGAAATTTTATATGATCAGGGATGGTTTTCGGCTTTGATGTTGATTTCTGTTGAATAGAATTTAGACCACTGCATAGGGCTTTCTTAATCTTGTTATAAAGGGACTCTACTGTTTCATTTTCTTCTACTATCATATCGTTAATATTTAGACTTAAAGATTGTATAAATTGTTCCTTTTCTTCTATTGTATTTAGTTTCGTTTTATAATTTTTGAATTTTGCTCTACTTTTTTTGATTGTTGAGGTCTGTAGAGTGATTCTTAAGAGTCTGTGGTCGCTGGGATATGTTATGTTTGAGATGATTTCAAAATTTGCGACGTTTTCTTTTATATTTGTTAGAATATAATCGATTTGGCTTTTTCTTTTCTTTGGCGATAGCCATGTCCACATAGTTTTAATGTTCTTTTTAAATTGACTATTTGTAATGTATAATCTATTTTCCCAGCAGAATTGGAGCAATCTTTCACCTCTTTTGTCTCTATTTCCGTAACAGTATTTGCCTAGTATTTTTTCTTCACCTAGCATTCGCTGTCCAATACGAGCATTAAAATCACCTAATATGATTTTCTGTTTGTTGTATTGACAATGTATGTTCTGTAGTTGATTGTAGAAATGGTTGATTTCTTGATTACTTGCATCAATAGTTGGCGCGTGTGCTTGGGCCTTGGACTATTGTGAGTTTTGTATTATCAAGATTGATATTTAGGACACAGATACGTTCGGAGACTCCGATAAAGCTCTCAATATTTGGTTTATATTTCTTTTTTATGAGGAATCCGACTCCATAAAGACCTTTTGTTTCCCCATAATAGCAGAAGATATGTTCGTCTTCTTCTAAAATATTATATCCTGTTCTTCTTATTTCGGCAAGGCCAATAATGTCATACTTTATTGTTGATATAGCTCTCTTTAAGTCGAGTAATCTTTCCTCTGATAATAGTGATTTTGCATTGAATGTACAGATGTAGAGATTTTGTAGTGGAAATGGAGGGTTGTTGTCGTTATCTCCCGCGGTGACAAGCCGTATTGGGAGATGTAGAGGGGCTTCTTTTATTCGTTTTTTGGTAATGAATGTACTTCATTGGAGGTCGACTCAGACACATGTTTCAGTGGAGCGTTGTTCATGTAGGAGGTAATGCTGTTTGTTTTATTTTTCTTTGGAATCTGTTTGACATTGTTTACGTTGGTCGCGTTGTTTTGGTAGTCAGGCGATTCCGACAGGTTTCGTTTTTGTTTCCGTGTGTCTGGTACAGAATTCCGGTTTTTAGGGCTTCCTGGAAGAATTACTATTTTGTCATAGCGCAGTACAGCATTTTTTCCAAGTTTACGTTCTTTTTCTACTTCTTCTTGCAGTTTCTTACGCTTCAACAAAACTTCTTGAGGAAAATCTTCTTTAATGCTAATAGGCGAGCCCTTCAGTGATTCTTTTTTCTTCAGAATTTCAATTTTTCGGCCCATAGTTGTTAATGTTACTAACAACGGTCTAGTCTTGCTCCCTTTTTTACCAAGTCTTCTCACTATTTCTAATTCAGATTGTTCAATAGAGATATCCATCTTGTTTCGTATGCATCTTAAAAACAAATCTTGTAAATCTTTGTATCCGTTCTCGGTCTCTTCCACTCCAAAGAATATTAGATTTTTCTTTCTGAACTGTTTTTCTAAGTAATCTATTGTTTTTTGTTGTTGGTTTAATTTTACTTCTAAGTTGTTCGTTCTATTTTCCATTATATTAAATTTATCATTAATGTTGTCGTTAATAGCTTTGGTAATTTTTTCTTGCATGTTTTTTATTTCCTGTTTTTGATCAGATAGGTCGTCTTGGATTTGTTTTAAAACTTTCATAACATTTTCCATGTTTTGGTACTAGTAGTGACCCCTAGTGGTAAGTGGCGTTATTAAAATATATCCTCAGTTTTTGCGGTGACAGCGGCAGCGTTGACAAAGCTGATGCGCAAACGCCGGTTGTCGTGCGTGTAGTTCGTTCACCTGTCACTAGATGGTGGGATTATCAATTATTTGATGATAGTGATTTGCAGTTTTATTTGTAGGTTATGAGTTATTTCTTGAAATCAGCTGTTTTCTAAATCTTCACTTTGTTGCACTAGCATTCATGAACTGACCTTTTAAGACGTTGATAGTTGACTTTTGTTACGGTTTTCCTGTTATTCGCGTTGTAAATCTAACTGTAGTAACGATGTTTTATCCATAACATTCTCCTTAACTATCCATAATGAAAGCTTGAGCCCCTGAAGTGAGGACGTAAAAGGGCTGATGATAAGGTTGAAATTATTAAGTAATCTGACAAAATACTTACCAGCAAAAACGCTAGCCACTGCCGCTAGTAAAAAAGAAAGGACCACAGCTGGTCCCGCGTAATTTTTAGCGACGTCTCCAGCTAACACATAAACGCCTACACCTAAGGTACTACCAACGCCCAGCGCTGTGAGATCGAGAGCTGATAGCACCCTGGCTAACCTCGCAGCTCCTTCCTCTGCAGCTTTGCGCCGCGACAGGACGCTGTAAGTTACACTCGCGAGGCGGGACGCACCCGCCTTGATACCCCCTAGAAAAGAGACGCAAGCTTATAATAACGTAATAAATTTGCGTTCAGTACATTTCATAGATTTTTAAATTAAAGAAAAATAAAGAATATTCGAAAATATTGTCTCATTTAATTAAAGGAGTACTACTTTTTCGAGTTAACATCACACCTGGATAGAAAAAAGAATAATCAAATAGAGCTTTAAATGTCATATTAAAATAACTAAAATAAGTGAACGATAATTTGAACTCTCATTTGGAAGATATGTTTCATTTATATTTCGCACATTCTTATTGTATTTTATCAATGTTTTTATAATTTCGGTTTCACCAGACCGAGTACCAAATTATATTAATATTTTTCCTAAAATAAAACATCTAATATTTCGTCTTTAGGCTGAAATTATACTGGTCAGAATTTGCCTTTAAATCAACTAAATTTAATTTAAACAATAAATATTAAAGACTACCGAGAATTTTATTGCTACATATTTCAAATTATTATATATGTATTTAAAAAAATTACTTACTAATTATGACCAACATTTTCAGCAAGCAGACATAAACCAAAATGCTAGCTATCGATATGTTAGTGTACACTGAACTGTGATGGTCTGATTGAAGCAAATTAATAAATACTGCATGGAGACACTCGACTCAATTGATTACTTATGAATTGTACATTGTATGTGCGGTACTTAAACGATAATTTGGCTGGAATATAATTGGTCACGATTTTACGAACTGTAAAGTCCTGTCTGTTACACAAATCTTGGCTGAGGTGTTTATATATATTATTATTTGTAGTTATTAACTTGCGATGCAAGAAACAAATAAGTAAATCTATCCTCTTTATAATAAGTATAGATTACAAAATATAGGCCTACTAAATCTATAAAATATTTATCCTAATACAGGAGGACGAAGAAATAGTGTTTTCGCATATGAATGAATACAACAACATTATTTTTACTATACTATTAATGTAATGGTTGATTTTGATGACATCAAAAACAAACAATTGAATAAAATATTGTATCTGGCCATTTTTCATCTGTTTTATCTTACTGTAAAAATTGGTAAATTAGATGATGTTTAATACGTTTTACAAAAATACTAATGTACACATTTGGTATAAGGCTTGTCTAAAGTTGCCGATATCGTCTACAGCTCCATTCTTGTGCAAAGGAATAATGTGTCATTCAACCCACTGATTGTTTTTTTAAGCAGGGTTTCCTTTATGGGTATCCATTCTTTTCCGTATTCCCTGTTAGATTACTTCTTCAAGTTTTTTATTTCTTTTTGATACTCTGTCTTTTCTCATGTTTTGTCGTGTATGTGCGCTAAGAACTGATATTTGTTTTCATTTATTTTTATAGCTTTCTTTATTTAATAATAATAATTGTTTTTTTAATTCAATTGTTTTTGGCTCAACTTGTTTTTTTCTTTTACAGTGTTGATATTCTTCATTTCCTATTATTTTCTCGTCATATTTATTAAATACTAGCTGACCCGGCGAAACTTCGTACCGCCTTATACCCGTTTAAAAAAAAAATCTTATATACAAACCGTGTCATGAATCGTCGAACGCCTAAAAAATAGATTCATCCAATTTGGTGCAGTCGGAACTGGAATTCTGAAGTTATGCACGTACATACGTTTCGGCGATTCATTTTTATTCATCGATATTTAATAGCTCGCCCGGAGATTTTTATTTTTCGATAACTCATTACATTAGTTTTTTTTTTATATATAGTGTAAAAGGCAACTCTACTTCAAATTACATGCATAACGTATCTAACTTATTTATTTGAATAAGGATCAATACTGTATTGTTATAAATAGGTTCGTAAATAACCATTCATTTTACTATTTTATTTATTATACAAACGGTCAATTGCACAAACGTCCATTAAGGGTTAATGACGCATTTAAACTCTAATGGGTGTCAAATTTGTATCGGTAATGTCGCTTTAAACTAATGACAATTTTAATTGACGTTTATGCAACTGGCTGTTAATACGTAAAAAAATGGTTATTGTGGGTTATCCTTGGAATATAGACATAAACCACCACGGACTTTTTTGTAGATCTATCAAAGAGGTACAATTCCACCATACAATGTTTTGTTACAACTCAAATTTTTTGGCATCGTTTTCGAGGAAAGCTTCCGATCGGATTTATTTTTTCCGACATATTAAACTAATATCGTCAGTTTGTACAAAACCTAAACTTACTATACACTAAAACCCTTCAAGAATTGCTCTATCTTACTTTTCGAGTTTATCGCAAACAGACAGACAGAAGCGGCGGGGGACTTTGTTTTATAATATGTAGTGATATCTGCATCATTGTCAAGTATTTCTTATAAGGGTTTAATGGCGAATGTATCGAATGAATTCCGGTACACATATGGAAGTATTTTTGTGTAAGTGACATTATTTGTGGACGTTTTCGACGGGTTATTGTTTAAACAACAACAGTTGATTTTGAGCACAAGTTTTGTATCGTGTGTGTCACGGAAGAATTTGTTTGACATGTAAAAATCTATTTCGTTTTTATAAGTCCCATCTGGGAAGATCCAGCTCCATTTGTTGCTAGGTTTCTTTTCATATACTGAATTGAGCAAGATCAGATTATTTTGCACTAAGAATTCTATTAGTTTATGTCCATTAGCACTCTTTTTTCAATAGTCATATCTTCCCATGATGTTCAATTCCCTTGCTGATGTGGCACTCCACTAGAAGTCTCCCCATGGCTATGATGTAATTATTTTAATACTTCCTTTTTATACAGTAATACACCGCTTCGCGTTAACTGAAATTAGCGTATATCGAGGTTTATGATTGAACATATACAAAAAAATACGAATCATATTAATCAATCACTTTAATTCTAAGAACAATCAATGCAATACATACTTTTAATTATTTTTTACGGAAAAATACATCTATTGTCTTTTGGGTAGCGTTCTTTTTTACGTTCTTGTAAAATACGTTCATAACACCCAACACTGTTTTTAATTGTTTGATACACGGTCAAGACACGGTCGTCATTATTGTCTATACTCTGCAATATGTCCAAACCATTCACGGGAAACAAGGGAAATTTTTCAAGAAAACCATTCTTGAAAAATTCTCCATGTAACCCACGCCTTTCTGTTTGATCGCCACACAACTGGTAGACTTGTCTATGCCTCGCATTGCACGGGTTGTTTCTGAATGGTACACTAATAAAGGTTTCAGTTACCACCCAGCAGAAGTGTTACTCGATCTTTCGCAGCTTCGAATGTCGCGTTATGGTGAAACCTCGCATAACGGGGTCGCGTATAGCGGGTATTATTGTGACTGATAAATTGTTATAGAAGCTGATTGATTGTCAATGACCTGCATCAAGGTCCATAGCTTTTTGTAATTCGGCAATCTCATGTTTAACATCGCAAGTCTATCAGAGATTCCTATATACTCTTGTATGCAGTGATTAAGATGTTCCTTTATCATGAAACCCGACACCTCTGTGTCCTGCCGTTTGCCCGTTGTGGTATAGAATGTACCCATGATGTTCCTCTATTTTATTAACCAATCTTCTAACTTCGCTCCAGCCTAAAATATTAAATATCGTAGTTTAAACTTTCAAGAGATTTCTCTACTTCCTGTAGACTTTCTTGTGTTTATAAAGCTCTTGTATTTAAAATTGATATGTTGAGAGATCTGTATCTTTTTGTTGGAGGGTTTAGAGTAGAATAGAATAGAATAAATTTAAATTTATGATTTAAAATTTATAATTTAAATTTATAATTATATTTCGCGGTGACCAGCCGTGTCGGGAGGCAGTTTATGTTTGTATGGTTTTGTGTTTATTATTTGTTTGTATGTGTTTTGTCTGTAGTAACTAATTTAATGCAGTAAAAATTTAATATTTTAACACTACGAACGTACTCTGTAATTTACATGAAACCTCCATGTAAATAAAATTACAATACAAATAGTTACAAAGTGGACGTTAAACTATTTGTATTGTATTTCACTATCTGTGATTCTTTTTTTCAGAGATTTCTTATGTTTTAACTTTTATGCTGAACATAATTGTTTATATATAAAATAAAATTGCACATCTTTTCATGACAATGCGCTAAAACAACAAGGACTGTGTGACAAATAGGAAGATCACAATAACAATTTACCTTAGCTATACAAAATTTTTAAAATGCATAACAGGACTATTTAAGCACTATCTTTCAATTTACATGATTGATTTAAATGTCGTTACTTCAGATAAAGAGCTGACAAGTTGTTTCACTTGTTCTCCTTGTCAGCCAAAAGATATATCCAGAATAATTAGTAGGGAGAAATATTTTTGGAAGATACAAATTGATTGTAATATGCTTATGAATTTATGAATAAACTAGCTGTTTTCCCGCAACTACACACGCCTAAATTGTAGCGTATATCAATGTAGCTACCTGTAGGTGAAAGGATTTTCAAAATAGGTCCAGTAGATTCAGAGCCTATTCTAAACAAACAAACGTTAGTATTGATAAAGACTTTTTCATTTCATCTCATGAAAATATCCTTTGTAATATAATATATATGTATATTCTAATTTATTCTTGTAATATATACTATAGAAATATTTTTAAAAAAATGTGACATTGAACGCTTTTCCTTATATGTAATAAATATGTGTAATAATAATAATAAATAAATAGGTTAGGGAAAATCTCTATCGCATTTTATATAAACATTCAAAATGAAATGAAATGAAATGAAATGAATGAAATGAAATGAAATGAAATGAAATGAAATGAAATGAAATGAAATGAAATGAAATGAAAATATCTTTATTCAAGTAGGCTATTACAAGCACTTTTGAATCGTCCAAAAAACTTTTTTCCCCTACCACTTGTTCAGGACGTCTTTTAGCTGACAAGAAGAACAAGCGAAAGAAACTTATCAGCTTTTTATCATAAGTAATGACATTTACATAAATCATGTCATTACCAAAATAATATGTATTATCAATTTATCACAATAGTAAATACAACTTTCAAAGTCTGTAGGACATAAGTTGAACATATAATTAGTCTTTATGGAACAAAGCGAAGGCTATTAATTCCATGCATTGCGATCCTTAAAATAATCATCAACTTTATAATAGCCTTTACTCACAAGTATATTCTTTACATGAATTTGAAATTTATTTATGGGTAGGTCAATTACATTTTGTGGAACTTTATTGAACATAGCAATACATTTACCCAGAAATGATCCTCTGGTTTTTTGAAGTCTGAAGCTTGGAACGGCAAGTTTATCTTTATTTCTTGTGTTAAGATTATGAACACTACTTTTTTTTGTGAAGGAATCGTAATGTTTTCTTGTATACATAATATTCTCATAGATGTATTGAGAGGCAACAGTCAGAATATTTATTTCTTTAAATATTTCTCTTAGAGATTCCCTAGACCGTAAATTATATATAGCACGGACAGCTCTCTTTTGTAAAATAAAAACATCCTGAATGCTAGCCGCAGAACCCCATAACAATATACCATACGTCATTACACTATGAAAATAACTAAAATATACCAATCTTGCCGTTTCAACATTTGTCAAGAGTCTAATTTTCTTAACAGCAAAAGCTGCAGAACTCAGTCTACTTGACAAGCTATCAATATGAGGATCCCATTGCAGTCGGGAATCTAGTGTAATACCAAGGAACTTTGTCGATTCTACTAACTCAACTTTTTCACTATTTACATTTATAAGTGTACTGACATGCCTCACATTAGGTAATGCAAACTTTATGCATTTCGTTTTATTTGAATTGAGCTTTAAATTATTATTATCAAACCACTGTAGAACGTTGTCGAGAGCATTATTTACATCGTCAAAACAATCATTACCCCTCTCAACTTTAAACAGTAAAGAGGTGTCATCTGCAAATAATACTGTCTCGCACAAATTCTTCGTAAAGTGAGGAAGATCATTTATATAAATTAGAAAAAGCAATGGTCCTAATATCGATCCCTGAGGTACGCCCATAGTAACTGGTGCCCCTGCAGATTTCGCTTCATTGATTACTACCTTTTGTATTCTAGCAGAAAGATATGATCTTATTAGATGAAGTGAATTTTTCGTCACACCATAATGTTCTAATTTCCCCAACAGTGTTTCATGACTAACGCAGTCGAATGCTTTTGATAGATCACAAAAAATGCCAATAGCATCTTGTTTATTCTCCCAAGCATCATAGATATGCCTCAGAAGTGCAATTCCAGCGTCTGTTGTACATTTACCTCTTCTAAAGCCAAACTGATTTTGGTGAAGTAATTTATTTAATGAAAAGTGTGCAAGCAGTTGATTGTACATCATTTTCTCAAATACTTTACTTAATGCTGGTAGAATAGAAATTGGTCTGAAATTACTAGGATCAGACTTGTCGCCTGCCTTGAAAAGTGGGATTATTTTACCATATTTCATTAAATCAGGAAAAGTTCCTTCATCAATGCACTTATTAAAAATAAAAGTTAATTGAGGTGCTATAGCTGGTATTATAGATTTGATAACATAAGTTGAAACGCCCCAAAGATCTTCGGTTTTTTTGACATTAATACAATTAAATGTTTTAATAATTGAGCAGACGTTAACGTGTCTAAAATAAAATTCAGTATTGCACTTATCAACAACTGACTCTAGATGCGTAACCGCAAGTTTAGAACATGAACTAAGATTTCTTGTGATTTCTATTGGTGTCTTAGAAAAGAATTTCTCAAATGTCTCGGCAACCGCTTCATCTGTTTTAATAATTTTATTGTCAACCTCTAATGAGTATGTGCGCATATTACTTTTATTTTTTCCCGTTTCTTGATTTATGATAGTCCAGGTTGTTTTTATTTTATTTTCTGAATTGTAAATTTTTTCAGATATATATTTTGCTTTTGCTGAAACACATACTTTCCTAAAAATTTTCGAATAATTTCTGACATATTCAATAAACTTTGGATCGGTCGAGGTACACTTTAGCTCATACAAATCATACAGCCTATTTCGACTTTTGTAGATGCCAGGTGTAGCCCAATCACTAAATTTCTTTTTTTGGTTAGTAAAGTTAATTGTTTTGAGTTTAAATGTTTTATCAAATTCTCCCTTTATCAAGTTAAAGAAATTATTATAAACATCATTTATATTTTCCAAATTACTAGTTGTCAACTGAGTATGATTTGCAGAAACACTGTTTTTAAATTTTTCTAAATTACTTTTGGTAATAGGTCTACAAATTATATTGCATTTAGGAGAAACATGATGGTGCTCGAAAGTTGCTAGAACTCCGCTATGGTCAGATTGAATACAATTTATAATCGATTTTTTGAACACCTTACATTTACAAAAAATATTATCTAAGCAAGTAGCAGATGTGGGTGTAATGCGGGTAGGTTCATTAAAAATATTTTCTAAATTAAAACATTTAAACAAGTTCAAAAATCTACTTGATTTAGCACATTTTATTAAAATATCTATATTAAAATCACCACATATCACTACTTTCTTATCGACTTTGCAAATTAATTTAAATGCATCCTCCATAGCAGATTCAAATTGACAGTAGTCCCCATCAGGTGGTCTATATACACATATAATAATATACTGTTCAAGTTCCACACATGACAATTCAATATGTCGCTCAATTGAGAGGGATACTATATCTTTACGTTCTTTACATTTTAAATAATTACTTATTATTATTAAAGAACCCCCTCGTATGGCATTTATCCTACAGAATGAACTTATAATTTTATAATTTTTAAAACCCGTAATTAATTCATAATTTTTGAGCCAGTGCTCTGTAATACATATTATATCAATATTCATACTATTTAAACACATTTCTAATTCTAGATCTTTTCCAGAAAAGCCTTGTATATTTTGGTGAACAATAGTTAAATAGGTAGACTTTTCCTTGGTCATCTTATTGCTAGAGATTTTCTCTATTGTCTTAAAACATTTTTTAATATTAAATATTATTATATTATTATATTAATATTAAATAAAATTTATTTACATTTAACTAAAGTTTAACTACATTTAACTTAAAAAAATATGATATAAAATGGTGCCTATTTAGGCCTTTTTGCCCTCTTGTAGGTAGGGATATGATTATACAAATTTCGAAATTGCCATAGACTTATAATAAAAAAACAGCGACAAGTAGTTTTGGCAGTCCTCTTGTGGTTTTAATTTCAGACTGCCTAAAAAATTCTGAAAAAATTTAAATGGGTGGAAATCTGAAGGTCAGGACTATATGACGGATGCATTAACACCTCCCAGCCAAACTTTCTTCATTTTTGATTAGTGACAAAGGATGTGTGAGGTGCATCATTATCATGATGAAAAACTACACCCCTTCTATTAATTAAGTCTGAATGCTTTCTCTCAACTTCTTACTTTAATCTCATCAGTTGTTAGGAGCAGAGTTCAGAATTGATGGTCCCGTCTGGCAGTAACAGCTCATAATTAATAATGACCTTCCAATGCCATCATAGATACAGCATCACCGTGACACCTGACTGACCTTTGACCTTTTCGCACATTATTATTATATGTGATCCACTTTTCATCACCACTTACAGGCTTCTTCAAAATCGTTTTTTTTTACTACACCATAATTAAGAATCACAAATGAGTACTTGGTTCATTAGGTTTCTTTCAGTGAGCTTGTGAGGTACCCAAATATCCAGCATTTTCCAATGCACCAACTGCTATGAGGTCAATCCTGTTCTTTAGCTACGTTGCAACTACTTACATGCCGAACTTGCTCTACTTTTAATAAAATGGCATCCATTTTATAAGCAAGAGGTTGACTGGAGTACATTTTGATTTCTGGACTGAAAATGCTTAAACCAAATTTGTGCTACTCTAAAAGAAACTGCACCAAGTCCAAACAATGCAATTTTTTTTCACAGCTTGCATTTTTACCTTTTTATAATCAAATTTATAAATGTCTCAAATTACTTCATCAGAAAGCAGAAACACTTATTTTGACGATAAGAAAAACAAATAAAACTTCCCACATTATCCTATTTGAATTTGGAATTACCTTTTTTTATAATTTAAACTTTTTTAATGATAACAAAACTAGCCAGATACAAATGGCATAGACAGAAAGATTTTATTACAAGTAGATGCATACTATATGCGAAGACAGATAGAAGATAATTTTTAAAAATAAATGAAAACTAAATATATGTTAATATTGATTTTAATATAAATATATAGTTATTTCTCTCTTGAAAAAAAAGAGATATACTATTTTTCTTTCTCATAATTAATCATATGGTCTTTTTGAAATTGTTTGATATGTCATTAATAAATTAAAGGTTTACTGTTACCTTCTGCATATGCCTGCTTTACTGTTGGTTTCTTGGCGCTGTCACGGCTATTCTCATAATTCATAAAACCATTATCAACAGGTAAAGTCATTTCTGAAATCGACACCACTGAAAATCTAACCTATTATGGTTACAACTTTATAAATCCTAATGAATTCAATATATAATTTTAGAAAACGGCTACGCTACCACTAGTATAAGTTTCCACGTGTAACTACTGAACTATGAAGACTATTTTACAATTTAAATAAAAAGTAACCTGAATAATGCAACTGTATCATGCGCGACTGACGTCTGTTTGACATTGACGTAACTCGTTATGTTGACAGCTGCACGAATAGAGTAGTCCTTGTGCACTAATTTATTAATTTATCGATAAACATATTTAATCAGGGTCCCAATACAAACATTTTATATACAATATATAAATGTTGTTATGGATAGCACCAGTGGTGTAACTTCCATAAATAACAATTTAAATATCTATGTAATGCAGGTCGTTCTTTAAACAGTTTGAAAAAATTACAACACGTACGAATTGAAACATCTAGAACGTGTTATGAAAATCACTAAACTTGGCACGCCGTTACTTTCGGCGGAATTGCCGCAATCTAGGGCAGAAATAAGGTAACGACAATTGGTTGAGTTAGGAAGTGATATGGTTGAGAATCATTTCATGAATATGTACAGTATATTATTATAATCTTTGTGATATAATAACCAACAACATTTAAGCTACTTTTTCTGTTGGGTAATAAAACCCATCTTCGAAAAAATCAGGGATAAGCAAGGTCTTACAAAACCAGGCTACTTTAATCAGTTCAATTAAGAATAAGCCTTTTAGAAAAAAAATACATAGTTTTTAATGCTACCTACCTAATAGCTAGATACCATGATACGAGTTAGATCCAGACCTATATATTTCATTCACTGTTACATTATTAGATAAATTTCATTTTCACATCAATATGATGAATGTTTCCTAAGACTATTAATTACTGCAATAAATAAAATTAAACTAACTTCTGCACAAAATACCTAAATAAATAATTAGTAACCACGTATAACATTTATAATAATTATAATATCGATATCGCTTTATTCAACATAGTTCTCAACACTAAAATTCTCACGTCATTTTGTCCCAGAATTGCGTCACGCATAGTGTTCAAAAACACGAATGAAGAGAAATACAGGTAATGATTTGATAAAAATTGCAGCAAGATAATAAAATAATTTTGGTTGTTTATGTAATCAAGAAATAGTAGAGGTATGTTCTCCAAAAGTTCTTCATCTGACAGCGGTCAGTAATGGTCTTTATTATAATAATAAATATTAAAGTCGATCTTATTAAAAACTAGTGGCCGTCAGCGACTTCGTCCGCGTTTTCCATAATTTCTTCGCTTCTAATAGTTGCAGCGTGATGTTATATAGCCTTAAGCCTTCCTCGATAAATGGTCTATTCAACACAAAAGAATTTTTCAATTCGAACCAGTAGTTCCTGAAATTAGCGTGTTCAAACAAACAAACAAACAAACTCTTCAGCTTTATAATATTATTATAGATACTTACTCCTTTTTCAAAATATCATTAATTATACCTACATAAAATATCTATTAATATATGTATCTACTTTAATTAATATTATATCTAATTACCTAACTATCTGAATCGAATAAGGAATCCAATAATAATATAGGTGACTAATAATCAAATCTAATAAACATTATTTGATGCTAATTAAAATATACTTGTTGCCAATAGGACTCCTAATATGCAAACTGTAATTTATTGTTAACGTGTAGGTATTTTATGCTGACACCCTGAAACTTTACGCTTCTTCGTAAGTAGGTTTAGTCAATAGCACGTCGAATTAAATAATATCGTCAAACTCCACTCGATTTTAAACATCAATGCCGTAAGGGCAGAGTTCTAAATCAATTGCAGTTTGACGTATTAAGCGTGCTGCTGTGCACCACTAAAGGAATATCTGGTGTGTATCGGGGGTGTTTTGTCATACGGGGGTTGTTGTCGCCACGGACGCTAGGAGCCTAAAAAGAGGTCACATCACGTAAACACTCGCAACCTCACCACTAACCGCTTAAAACGCAATGACGGCATTATGAAAAAATGCTAATTCGTCATTTATTTTTTCTCCGCAACACTTGAAAAGTATATTAAACCGCATAAGTTTGTATTTATTTCAAAATAAGTAATATAATTTGTAATAAACAATAATTAGGTACAGACAGAAGACCAGACGAATTGTGGACATTGCAGTAGTCGCTGTTTCCCGGTGGTGTACATAAGTCAAAGTGGTGTACATAAATAAGGTGTACAAATATACAATTGAGAGTACTTACCGTACTCTCAATTGTATATTAGAGTTCTATCAGGTTTATTCTAGGGACATTTTTCTTTCGCTTTTCTTTAAATTCATAAATAATCACATTAAATTTTAGGCTATTTACACGCCGCCTCATCAGATATGGCATGGCATATAAAGATGGAGATGGCAGTAAAAAGCAAAACAATAGCTTTTTACTGCCATCTCCATCTTTAGTTATCACAACAAATACTTTACACATTTTTTTTCTAATGGGTTCGAGTCCCATCTCAGGGTGCCAGGGAAAAAGTTTTACCCTTTGGGTACGAAACCCTAAAAATAGGGAAGGCCAGAGTCCCAGCAGTGTGGAAATGAAAATGATTCTACTCGCAAGTAGGTGATCATCAGAGATTTTGATTTGTACATCATACACAACAATGAAACACCGATTCGTCATTGTAATAATTATATTTTATTTTCTTATAACTAATTATTTAAAACTATAGAATCATTCGAAATATCCAGTAACTAAGCATTGACTTCAACATAACAAAATTGATTGATTGGCTATTAGAAAAAATCATACATTGATAGATGGAGCAGAATTATGTAATTGGTGCAAATTTAGGTATCCGATATCGATAAGAGGTATTAATTAAATGCAAATTATGTACTTATCTTAATTTGCATACTATCTGGAATAATTGTGGGTAGGTCAAATCGTTATCTTAGTACCGATCCGACGTACCTACATAAATATATTATTTTAAGTACATAATTGACTTATGCTACAAAAAAGGAGGTTTCCTATTGTACTCAATTTTTAGTAGAACAATTTTAATGATTTTTTTATTTTATTTATAAATTTAGTTGTCGAGAATCTATCATACCTCTAAAAATTGCACCTGCTTAACAACTACAAAGGTTGTTAACAAAATCCGTAGCTATTCCTTATGTTGAAAGATTTTTTAAAGTTTTAGTTTTGTACAGGTCAAATTCAATGAGGTTAGCCTATTTCAAGCACAGGTATTAGTTTTACAATATAATTTATCTTCATAAGTTTGGAACAGAGTCATATAATAAAATAAATAAAACATCTGATTGTAATAAAATATCATTCTCAACTTTATCTCCACTAGTTTCTATTAAAATCGTTGTTAGTTTAATTAACACACATTAAAAAACCTAATGTGCGTTGTATTTTACACATTAGGATTATGGAATCAAGATTCGCTTTCAAGCATGATTTTTCCCCTTTTAATTAACTAAGTACAAAGCTTAGTAGGCAACAAAATAAGTTACATATTAATAATAATAAGGGATTATTGCATTATTTATTATTACTCTTGTGCATATTTCGATCAAAGTGCATATATAACAATCTGTGAAAAGACCAAATCATACAAGTCTTTGGGAAACATCCGATATGTTTTTAAAACAATAAATAAATTTATTATCGAACAAGAAAAGTTGCCACCAAAATTTTTAAGGTAGATCGCCGCTTTTAAAAAAAAAATTACGTATCTCCTTAGGTTTGAATGGCACAGAATGCCGGCTTTAAATTCACCATAGAAGATAATGTTATTTTTTGGGGTTATCCTGATTTTGAGGGTACAATAATAGAACACTTAAAACAATTCATCATGAACATTTTCATCGTCTGTCGCTGGACAGAAACGCGTAGCATGAAAAACTCGAGAAACAGTGCGTTTCTCGAGTTCGTGTGTATAACATCTTACTCTCTACCCGATAAAAGTGACATTTGCGTGTAGAAAAAGCGTTACTCAAGTTTGTTATACTACGCCTGCTGCTCTGACTTACTTACTCGTAATTTTAATGTTTACGATTAGTACAGAGCGCTTAGTGTAAGTTTTTTTACGTTTAAGTTCACTGTCGATCGTGAGCGCGTTAAGATTTTAGTATGGAATCCGGTACAGCGCCCCGGAATAAAATCATATAAATTAATAATTAGATTAATTTAATATAAGGGTACCTAACATTTTTTTTCAACATAATAACAAAAATTCGTCATCATTCTTATACAAGCTAACTATTAAATTTTATCATATATATCTGTATGTATCAATATGATTATCCTAGAGGGTGTCGTCTTACCACAGGTTGTAAAAAACTAAAAGCTAAATCGGAGTCCTACGCATTTAAAGTTGCACTAAATAATATCTTCAAAATTGTTCACTCGAATAACCCATCTCCAATCTAGTGTCATCGATTCAATCGAAAAACACTGCAGCTTTTTGATCAAATTCTCTCTTTTTGTAACTGGCAAAGGTAAACAACTGAACAGGCCCCTTTTATTATTACTTATATCAATAAATAATGTAGCAAATACTCGTATAACTATGTAATTAATAAAGTAACGGTGCAGTAGGTACCTAATACCTACAGCTTTGCTGTTCTGTAAAAAGTTGCACGCCAAACCCGATGTCGTTGTCACAGAATAGATGTTCAATGAAATAAAATCTTTATAAAGTACCTTTTGAAGTATATTTTATTTGAATGTTGTGAATTGTGCTCGACGTAGAACTTTTTATGTAACAGCACTCCTTGTGTTGTATTGTAACTCTTTAATTATAGATTGTATGTATTATAAAAATATAGGTATATGTCACTTGACAGAGACGTTCAAAACTCAATGGTTTTATCTATTTTACAAATTATTTTTCTTTTAAATAAGAAGTACATATTGCTTTAAAAAATCGTACTTTCCTAAACAGAAGGAGACAGCTATATATAGTATATAATAAATCACATGTTTTACTTTCGCAAACAAGTGAACCATGTAGAATAATTTAATATTTACAAAATTTGATTACATTACAGTATTATTTTGCCATCATTTATGAAAGTCTTAATCGATACATAAAATGAAAAACAATGTTAACATTAAAAATTAGTAACCTTTGCATAAGAATTTATCGATCAAATTATTATTAATGGTATGTATTATAACACTCCAGTTGACAGAGTTAATATTTGCGTTCACGTTTATGATGGAGACCGGAATGCGCACAGCTTAAAGTAGCACACCATCTGGGAACCTGTGGAAGTGAGACCTTAATAAATGGATATACATAAAAAAAACAGTCAAGAGTAAGTCGAGCTCGCGCGGAAGGGGTAAACTAATGCCTATATTAAGTTCTAATTAAAAATTTGCCTAATACGATTTAGACTCACGCACAAAGGGTTCTCTACCATTAAACTAAAAATTATCACGTCTGTTGTGTGTAAGCTCCCTTAAATATTCATCGGTGAAAATTTCAACTCTCTAGTTTTCACGGTTCATGGTGTGCGTACAGACCGAAAAAATCAAGACGGACAGCAGAATCTTAAAGGAACCCTAAAAAGTAGTCAAGAACAAGTAGGATTGGAACGACAAGGTTAAGCATATAAGTTTTGAAAACCATTAAGTACTTAGATGTTTTCTTACAATTTTAATGATATAGAAAAAAATAGTACCATTAATTACAGAGATCAAGGATAATATCAATTTTCGTATATTTTGTAAAATAACATCTTTCATTTGAGATCGTGACAATAAGATACTGTTTTTATTTGTACATGTCTCAAATTCATTTATATAAGGTCAACGGCTATTTTTGGATCACCGCACAGGATCACTGACTTGCATAGGTTGTGTATCAAGTAGATTTCAATCAGTATTCAATTCAATTAGTAGATATTTACTATGAAGACTCAATTCTGTTAATGTAAAGATTGATTATACGGTGCCATTAACTATCAACCTGTAGAATATGAT